CCCCTGCACATCCACTACCCTCTCTGACCTGGGGCCCCTGTACATCCACTACCCTCTCTGAGCCGGGGCCCCTGCACGTCCAGTCCACTCTCTGAGCCGGTACCCCTGCACATCCAGTCCACTCTCTGACCTGGGGCCCCAGCACATCCACTACCCTCTCTGAGCCGGGGCCCCTGCACGTCGACTCTCCTCTCTGAGCCGGGGCCCCTGCACGTCGACTCTCCTCTCTGAGCCGGGGCCCCTGCACGTCGACTCTCCTCTCTGAGCCGGGGCCCCTGCATGTCCGATCCCCTCTCTGAGCCGGGGCCCCTGCATGTCCGATCCCCTCTCTGAGCCGGGGCCCCTGCATGTCCGATCCCCTCTCTGAGCCGGGGCTCCTGCACGTCGACTCTCCTCTCTGAGCCGGGGCCCCCACACATCTAGGCTGGCAGGATGTTGCATCATGACCCAGTTCATATGGATCAGTACTGATCAGGTCTCCAATCTGCTCCTACTGCTTTTAGGACCTTCGTAAAAGCTGCCTTATCAATGAAACAATCAATCGTCGATGTTTAAACACCATCTTTAAGGGGGATTATTAAATTCCACCAGGAAGTGCAGAATGGACACCAGGCAAGAGCTGATGATCTCTCATTGATTTCAGATGCCCAGGAGCTTTATAGAGTTCTCTCTTTCTGCTGGATCGCCCTCCCTCTCTCTCTCTCTCTCCCTCTCTCTCCTTCCTTCCCTCTCTCTCTCCCTCCATTTCCCCTTTCCGTGCATCACGTCTGTGTGTGAGTCCATTCCACGCTGGCCAGTGAGTGCTTTTGATATATGGGTAGCAGGTGTTTCTGGGATCGAGGAACAGGATGAGTGACCAAAAGGCTGGGGGGTAAAACCCCAGGGGGTGGGGGGAGGAGGGGGGGTTGAGGGACTCCCAGAAGCGTGACATGTTGACTGAATCCGCAAAGCCTCCCCAGATGAAGGAATCTGTTACGCAAACACATAAACCTGTTTTGGACGGAAGCTACCAGCCTGTCCTCTCACTGGATGCTGAGATGTTACAGTCACTTAGGTTCTGAGTCTATAATACCTCCTGGGTTCTCTGACAATTCTGCCCCTTGGGTTCTGCGTCCCAGTTGTCCTGTCCTAGTTCTTCTCCAACTGTGAGGTTCTGATCCACTTTCCTGACAGCGTAGGTCCAGGAGAGCAGAACCAGCACAACGGACCCTTCAAGCTGACCCCTACCATTCTTTGAACTTCCTTGATCAAGGTAACAAATCTGGACAGATATATCCAGCTGTCCAAAGAGCAGCGTTGGATGCTTAAACAAAACCACCTGCATTTGACTCTAATTTAAATGTCCGCCCTCAGTTTTTGCTGTGTGTCTATTTCAGACCCGTGAGATCCACGCACAATTCTGCACACGATTCGAATCTTAACCATCAAAAACCTCCAAAAGGGAGCCTGGCCAATGGGGAGCTTAAATCTGTACCGGGGGCTTCCAGCGCTATCGTGTTCAGAGTTAATCTTCCATGACCCCCCGAGAGGCAGTGCTGGGCGTCCGCGGTGCAGCGCTCACTACACCCTCATGTTTACACACACCGTCAGCCCGGTCCAACAGCTGACGTCCCCTTATCGGCGCTGATAAGACGCGGGCAATTATGCAACCGCTCAGTCACTGCTTTTCTGTTTTGATTCCCTCTCTATCTGTACTCGACTCCTCACTGTCACAGCAAGAGTCCCTGATTTCCAGTGGGAAAATTCCCATAAGCCTGTGCTCTGGCAGTGTCGCTGGCTGCTGAACATTCTGGCGCTTGCGTGCTGCCGTAACTGAAATCATGCCTTTTTCTGATCATTTATTCATTATATCATATCACCTGTCTTCGTTGGCAACGTACAGGAAGCATTCCTGTCCAAGTGCCCCACCTAGGGACCTCTGGCTTTGAGCTCTAAGCAGTTACCAGTGTTTTTCTACATGTTACCAAAATACTAAGTTTTCCGGAATACTGTCCCCTCATCTGTGAGTGATAGTCGTATTTACATTTGATTACTAAATCTCTAAAAAGCCCCCAAAAGATAAGCGAAACCTTTACTGATGCTGTGTTCAGCACACCTGCTTAAGTAACAAGGACTATTTTGGTTGCCTCACATTCTATGCACAGAATGAGAAAAACAAGTGCCTGGATTAAGTACACTTCTAGTTACTCAATATCTATGTTTTTCATTTAGGCAGAAAACTAAGCTTGGTGGGTCACTTCAGAGATAAACAAGACATAAGACACTAAGTACACAAGTACAACCAGAGTCACTGTCACTTAAGGTCACCGCAACAGACCTTGGTAAAGAGCAACAGGATATTATAGTCTAGACACATAACCTAAAAAGTGTATGTAGCATTCAGTATATGCATATTGTAGCCCAGTCGTTAAGTCTTTTAAGTACTTACAGTGAAAATAATCATACAGATTTATCTGTGACAAGCTGATAATATATGGAAGTGCATTAGAGTAGGAGCTGAGGGATATGGTGACTTTGCAGCTGAGGCAATCGATCTCCCTCAGGCTTCAGTCAGGTCACAGAAATTGATAACCTCGGGATAGAGACCTCACGCCCTGATAACGGCAGCAATACCCTGTAAATGAATCCCACAAAGCCGTATGATGCCGTATGTATGACGCCTGTGCACCAAACTGAAGGGGCAGGATCGTGCCGACACCAGTCACCTCTTTCTGTGTCTCTTCTCTGTAATAGCCTGTGATATATCTGAGATCTCTGCCCTTTAGCCTTCTGGCCTGCGAGGGTAACGGGCTGGGTTTCTTATCATACGTAGACGTTTGGGGGGGGGACGACTACATCAAGGCACAATCTATACAGCAAAATGGATTAGGGCGTGTAATCAGAGACTCAGCAATATTAATCTCTGGCACTTATTGAATGAGAGACAGAGGGGAGAGCAGGGTGATTGTGGGTAGGGGCTGCAGAGGTGGGGGGCAGCGGTAAGGACTTTCATGTCATGGCTGGCAACCTTGCAGAGGAGAGAAACTCACTTCTGAGCACATCAAACACTCTGCACCCCCCCCCCCCCTGCCAGAGAGGCCCAGGTAATTAATGAGCCAGGCCCAGTAACATCTGGGATGCACTTATGTCACGAGTACAGGGCTATGGGTTCAAAACAGGGCACCGATTAGACTGTCCATTCCACACAGAAGTGGACTGCTAGTCAGGGAACCTAGTTAGGCGCCCTATTAAAGGGACCAATTTACAGCAAAATCCAGCAACTCATCTAGCGTTTTGCTCAGATTTTACATAATCCACAGTCAACTATTTCAGAGTACAAATCATTTAAAGGGGAGGTTTTAAGGACAAGGTGTTTAGTTGGTCAGGAATGTGTAACCATGTATATAAAAACATCAGACTCAATAACGGGAAGAAAATCTAATACCAACCCCCCCCAGCTAATTGATTTCTAGGGGAGTAGGCAGAGGGAGCATAGTGTTGATTAATTTATATCATTATGGGATGGGTTACCTAGAGGCTGAGGGATTGATTGCATGTAAACACCTAAGCGGACCAACTTACCAATTGTTCACTTGTAGGATAGTGAGCCCTGTATCTTGTGCTAGCTGCTTCTTCTGTTCTTCTGAGGGGTATGGGTGCTGGAGGTAGAATAATGGGGGGGGGGGGGGGACGACATAAACACCACAATTAATTAACAATATCGCTGATAAATGCAAGAGTGGGGGGGGGGGGGGGGGGGGACGACATAAACACCACAATTAATTAACAATATCGCTGATAAATGCAAGAGTGAGATTTTCCTTTTCTGCTGGAAAAAAAAAAAACAGGGCCGCAGATGAGTCTCCAAGCGACCGTTAATTAGCTTAAGAAGCGAGGTGTCTCCTTGTCTTAGACTCATTAATGAAATATGAGATGGCATAATTAATGGCTGCGAAAAGGCGAGCCAATTATAAAGTTAAGTGAAACAGCTACATTAATTAGGGCTCTGTGCTGTGCAACCACACCAAAATTTACTCTCGCCGGGTCCAACTCAGCCCCCACTTAGCCAGAGTCCTTGATGGAGAATTTCAGCTTAACATCGACTCACCCAGGAAAGAGAAGATGGAGGTAGCTGGCTTTAGAAAGCTTGTTACTACCAGTCTGCCATATTAATACAAGTCTGTGCTTATCATTCACCTTCTGTAATTTCTTTTACAATAAGATCGTGTCAAACCAGATCACTTTTTCTGTCACTTCACTGGACACTACATAGGGTGCAGGTGAGTGAAACACACGACAGCAGAAGGGAACTGGGAGAGTGAAAAAATTGTGTCTATAAAGCACAACAATAACTGTGTGAAAGGTTCGACCTCAGCTCAAACCACAGGGAAGATTCAGGGGTCCGCGGAGCACAGAGAGGGATGTAGGACAGGGAACAGAGTCACATGGGGTCAAGAGAGTTCGACTTCGTTGCCGCCCCCCCAGCAGTCCTCCAAAGGGACGGGTCAGTGGTCGGGCCCCTCACTGTGTCGCCTGTGGCCTTCCGGGGGCCCCTGCCATTTATAAGGCCATTATCTCATCAGAGAGGCCGGGGATTAGTGGGGGAGGGGGGGAATGGGACAGGGGAACCAGAGATATGAGTGGCCGCCAGAGAAGGTGGGGGGGGGGGTCACATCGCAGCAGGGCAGTACAAATAAGCACTGACGCTACAGCCATGGCGTTGCAGCACCTATCGTGATGCGGGCGTGGGGGGGGGGGGGATGGGTTAGGTTGACCCTGCATGCTGCGTAACAAACCAACGCTACAGTATATCTACATGGTACCACAGGAATACTGTTTACAAACTGAGAAGCTGATCAGAACTGACCGTCAAGGCCACTAAAAGGCAATGTGAACATCTACAGGGTCAAAGGTCAGCTTAGCATTCCTAATACAGACAGGATGGCTATTCCGCTGCAAGGGTCTGGCAGCTAGAATTTACTGCTAAGATGGATGGATGCATAGACAGACAGATAGATAGATAGATAGATAGATAGATAGATAGATAGATAGATAGATAGATAGATATGCAAGCAGCAATGCAGGCAGGCAGACGTAAAAAGGAAAGAAAGAAAGAAAGAAAGGAAGAAAGAAAAAAGAATTCTTGAAAAGAGTATTTAAAAAGAAGTTTGCCAAAAACAGTTTCAAAATTTTACGGGAGGTGGGGGGGGCGTCGATGAGAGGGGAGAGAT